TCCCATAGCACGTTAGCCGGATGTTCTACATCTTTTTGTGCTCCAGAGTCTTCCCATAGCACGTTAGCCGGATGTTCTACATCTTTTTGTTGTCAGCCAGGTACTGCTTAGGGCAGAGCATGCTGTGGCTCACTGGGGCTTCTGCTGTTGGACTATTGTATTTTTACATTGGGGTCTTTTTCACCTTTATTCTTTGACAGTGTCATACATGTATGCCACATATCTTGATCATACTCATTCTCACCCTCATAACAACTCCTCCTAGGACCAGACCCATCTCATCTTCCTCCCAATTTTATGTCTCCCTTTTAGATACTTAGTTTTAATTCTTTTTTTTACCCACTGAGTCCTCTTAGTGCTGCTCATGTGCATGGGGTCATCCCCTGGAGGACACGCAACCTTCCAATGGCCACGCTCCTAAAGAAAAGTGATTCTCCCTTCCCCGGTGGCCGTCCACTGCACAGAGCTCTGCAACTAGGGCTGGGATCGCAGGGTCCCCTCTGCCCTCCCTGCCAGAACTTGGAACTGGCTTGATCTTGTGTAGGTAGCCACTGCTGCTGTGGGGCCATGTGTCATGTCCAGAGTAGGTTTTGTCTCTTAAGAACAGTAGTGGGGCCTGTGAGAGGTTCTGTGAGTGCAAGTGCTCGCTCTGCAATTCTGGTGACGGAGTTTGATTTCACAACCCACATGGTGGAAGAAGAGAACCGACTCCAGAGAGTTGTCCTTTGACCTCCATGCCATGCACTCATGTACATAACACACACACACACACACACACACACACATACACACACCATTCATTTGTACATATACCACCTTCTGTGGAGGGCACATACCCAGGATGGGATTGACAGATGTGCCAGAAGGGTGCTGCCCTTTCCACAGTTTGACATCCCTCCTCCATAGCATTATCAACAGAGTGCATTTGTAATTTCTAGATTTCATTCCACCTGTTCGATAATCTCATTGTTTTAATGTGGTTGAACATTTTTCAGATATTTTAGTTTTTTTTTTTTTTCCAGACAGGGTTTCTCTGTATTGCTTTGGAGGCTGTCCTGGAACTTGTTCTGTAGACCAGGCTGGTCTTGAACTCACAGAAATCCTCCTGTCTCTGCCTTCCCTCCTACCCTCAGTGCTGAGATTAAAGGCATGTGCCACCAATGCCCGGCTATTTTCAGTGTTTTTATTATTTTTTTCATGAAAACTACTCTTAATTGATTTAGATATTTGTTTATTTCCTCGTTTCACTTTAATCTTCAGTCTTTTCAAGTTTTCTTCACTTTGTGTTGTGTGATTTATTTGTTGTCTACTGGTTCCTTATTTCATTTAGTTTTTTAGTTTTGCTAAGTAATAAATTCATGGTCTGAAAGTGTCAGAATTTTGCATGGCTCCTTTTTTTTTTTTCCCCACATCTGATCCCTTAGCAAATTGCCCAGGGGTCTCTGTTGACATGTGCAGGAAACAGACAGCCACTTCTTGCTGAAGCTGCTCCAGTCCAAGATGTCAGAGTCTGCCATCTTAAGTCTTGTGACAGCTTCTCCCTCCTGCCTCCAGCTGGGCCTCCTTCAGGCAGTCCTTACAACAGTTGGCTTCTCCCTAGAGATGTTTAGGTTGGGAAAGCTTTGAATGATTATGCTTTGTTCAACAGCACTTACAAGGACAACAGTGTCTGTGTGTGTCTGTGTCTGTGTGTGTCTGTGTGTCTATCTGTGTCCATGTGTGGGGTGGGGGAGAAAGCATTATGCCTTCTCGAGGATGGCCATTCTCTTCCTGGGGGGACAGGAACAGTTGAAGGGTGGTTCTGAGCAGAGATGCCCTTTGACCACGGGAGCTCCTTGTCTGGCAGATGTTCATAGCTCAGTCCTCTTGGTCCACCTTTGAGCCTCTGAGGCTATTCCTGCTGTACACCCTTTGTCCCCAAAGTTCTAACCTGGGTCTTCCTAACTGAGCTTGGGTGCTGGACTCATGGATTCACAGCAATCAAGGAAGCTCAACAGTAATTACAAGGACAACAGTGTGTGTGTGTGTGTGTGTGTGTGTGGCCTCATGCTCCCAGGGGGAAAGACTTATCTCTGGATTGTTTCCTGTGCTGCAACCAGCCATCTTGACCCGTTCTGCCCAGCCCAGCAGAAGTTCTGCTGCGAGGTTAAAGGGCTGTTTGAGTAGAGCACACATCTGAGTACGATACATGAGGAAATCATCTTCAGTGACGGCAATGTGGAATGTGTAGAAGTTGAATGTAACCCTCTACCTTTCTCATAGACCTAGGAGAAATTACAGACCAAGATTATGAGACAAGATACGTTTCCTTGATTGCTCTGAGTTTGTGATACCAGCGCCTAAGCTCAGTTAGTATTGTAACTGCACGGCTGAGGTGAATTTTTTCCCTAGGCGTTTACCAGCCTAATGGTTGTTTCCTTCAGAAACACGTTTTTGGCTCTGTGTTTGAGGGAGGCCCCTTCCTGAATGTGGTATTTTTTTTATCTGGTACCACAGGGGTATCCCCTTCTCCGGTACCTCTTGTCGTGGAGTCAGGGCCTGGGACATATCAATGCACAGAAGCAGCAAGCCAAGCACAACACTTTCAGGAGGGGAGTCTGGTCTTGGAGGAGTCTTCAGGAGTCTAGGGTCTGCCCCTCTTGATCCTCCACGGAGTTCTATACTTGGGCCGGCTGTTCATGCTATGAGAAGCTCAGTTGCCCATGCTGTCCCTATGCAATGACAAGCAGCTGTCTTTCTATGCAAGCCTGAGGAAGTGTCCTTTTTGGAGACTCTGGTTTCTGCTGAAGGCTCCTAGAGCCCTTGCTACTGCCACTCGGGTTGCCTGGAGCCAGGCATCCATTGCTGTGTTGTAATCTGTGTTCATGTGTTGCCATGTTCTCTAAGGAGACAGGGATGCTGAGAAGCACTGCTGTCTCCATGGAAGCAGGCTTGTACATGAGGATAGAGCTGCTCCAGATGCCAGCAGCCTGCCAGTGCCAATCCCATGAGCTCTGCTACACAGTCCCAAGGATTCAGATCAAAGCCCTGTAGCTTACCCTTTGTGTGGCCTGATTTGTGAATGCATTCTTTTTGCCCATGCCTTTTTTTCTGCTTGGGTTCTCATGTTCCAGCCTGTATACCCAGTGTTTGTGTTTCCAGGAGTGATTCCTCCTTCCCTGATTGGATTCTGAACATATCCATAGTGGAACGGAAAAGTCTGGGTGGTGAGAACACTTCGTGAGTGGCAGAGAACTGCCTATAGGAGATGGCCTTGGTTCAGGATAGCCCAAGGCTCTTGTCTAGTACTATGTCCCCTAATAGTCTTCAGAGCAGGCCAAGTTCCAGTAGGTCATGGCCATGCTCTGGACAGTAGAGCTTCCATTTAGCCAGGCCAAGCAGCAGCAGCAGCAGCACATGCCTCTTGTTCTCTCTATTTTCCTTCAATAACATCAGCCCTGCCCCTGGTACACTGACCATGTACTGTGATGGCCAGTGATAGGCATGTTAGTACTAGTGACAGGGTTCTTGCACCCTCACTGCATTCATGACGCCTGTCCTATCGGGTCACATATTGGTAGTGTGGGCCTTCTTGGTGTGTGGTGAGAGTCAGTTGGGCATTGTCTAGAGGGGCATGGCCGCCAGCCTCCCAGGTAAACAGTGAATCCTGATGTGACGTGCTCAGCTTCCAGCCTGCCTGAGAGGGGCCTTGAACAGCTGCTGCTGGAGACCAGTTTGTAGATGCTGGGCCCCAGCTGGCTGTTTTCGTGCCAGAAACATGTGGCATAAATGTGTTGGGCACGTGCTTGTCCTGCAGCTCTGGGTGGAACCCTGAGACTTATATTTAAGAACAACTCTATTATATCACCACATGAAACCAGATGTAATTTTGTAGATATGTTCTTGTCTTTTATTTTTAAAAGTGTATTTATTTTCCCTGGCCAGTATAATTTTTCTCAGGGCCTTCACCCTTTGATCTGGACTGGAAAAAAAGTTACCATTTTAAGACCTCTTAAAACCTGCCTTTGGATTTATTGTGTGTACAAATGGAAATTCAGATAATAGTTCTGTTCCCAACTGAAGAAAAACAGGAAAAGAAAAATAATTTCTCACCACTTGGAATGAGAACCATGGTGAAGCATGCGCCGTATATCCTGGCAACAGAAATTCAAGGTTGGAAATAATTTCCTCCCTCCTGAGTCTGCCTGCAGCTTCCCTGAGGAGTGTAGATGGTAAAATTTGCTACTAATTGTAGCCATAATTTTAGCATGCAATTAAACACATGATTTCCTTCCCAGCTGATGTCTTTTTAGCTAGTATGACACAGATAAAACAAAGGCTCTGTTGATTTGAACGGCCACTTTAATTATAGGAGGTCACAGAAAGTCACTACTGTTTGGGCACATTTGGCTCCCCACCAGGAACCAGATTATCTTGCCTATAAAGATGGCAGGTTGCTTGGGTGCTTTTAATCCCGCCTCTAATGTTGTTGTCTGTGCGCTGAAGAAAACCAGTGTTGGTGTGTCTGTTTTGTTAAGTCCTCTGAGACTAAGGAGGGAGTAAACCGGGTGGGAAGAATCAGAGGGGAGGACTGTGGTGTGGTGGTGGGAGCCAGGGCTCCGGGAGAAGGAACCTGCGCTGGAGTTACAAGGCTGCCTTCAACCTAGTGGGCCGGACGGTGAGGATGGTTGTGAAGAGCCTTTAGCGGCTATGGGGCTAAAATGGCCTCCCTCAGTGGCTGTGCCAGTTTGCCTTCCTGCCACGCACGGCGTCCTGTCCACGCTGTGTTGGCCTTCTTGGTGTTCCTGGGTCTTTCTTGCCAGTTCTCTTGGGCAGGCTGTAACATCTGTGCTGTTTACTTGCCTCTCCCTCCCACACCCTCTGGGGGGCTGGCCGTTTTGTCCTGTGTTGGCTGGCAGGCCCCATTGCCAGACTTTTTTATTACATCGTTGTACATGGGGTCTTTGGATAGATAAACCTGGGGTCTCCATCTCTTGAATTTGTTTGAATTGTTCTTTCAGATGGCAAGTTCGGTGCCTACATGCAGGTGCACATTCAGAACGATGGGCCAGTGACTATAGAACTGGAGTCCCCTGCTCCTGGAGCTGCTAACTCTGACCCAAAGCAGGTAAGCCTGAAGTCTGGAGACTGCATCGATTGTGCGGGTGTAAGGAATGTGCTTGGCTTGGACTTAGTCTCTGCAGTAGCCTTCATCTTGAGGTGGAGGAAACACCTCATGGCTGCAGCCTCATATTTATTTTAATTTTCTTCTTCTCAAGAATGTGTGCTTCCACCGTCACTCCTGAGCATGTGGTAGGCTTGACCGTGTAGAGAAAGTGTTCTTAAGGGTCTGGGTTTTCATTTTGATCTGGACTTGTACTAGGTGTCATGGCACCCAGTTACCACTTGGTGGCAGCAGAGCAGCAGCCCTGACCAGCATACCTAGTCAGAGTGGTTACCTGGATTGGGCTTTGTCCAAGGTGTGGGTAGATGAGCCACTCAAGATTCTTTCTAAAGCAACATCTGACCTGGGTTAACTGCCAACTCTATAAGTGTTCATGAAAAATGTAATTAAAATAGAGAAAGGAGATGCGTGATTGTCCTTGCAAACTTAGTTGTCCTTTGTGCTTAGCACTTACAAAAGCTTTAATTAACGTATCCACTTGATAGGGACATGAGTCATGACAGGCGGTGGGCCGAGGTGTGTTCCTGCTCTTCCTTCCTAGCATCCTTCCCTTGCTAGGATGCTGTAAAGTAGAACGATGAATTCATATGGGGGAGTCACGATGGAAACTTGGGGCCAAGTAACTGGTATGGAGCAATGGTTTTCTTCTGTCACTGACACTTTGTATTGGCTGAGAAGTCAGACCATGTGTGCAATATCATCAAGTTTCAAAAATGGAATTGAGGGTGTTACCATACCGATAACATTTTATTTGTTTATTTTTATGTATGAGTACTCTGTCTGCCAGAAGAGGCATTAAATCCCACTATAGATGAGCTGCCATGTGATTTCTGGGAATTGAACTCATGACCTCTGGAAGTCATGTGCCTTTAACTGCCGAGCCATCTCTCTAGCCCCTACTGATAACATTTAAAAAAGAAATAAGTGGTCGGGCGGTGGTGGCGCACGCCTTTAATCCCAGCACTCGGGAGGCAGAGGCAGCCAGATCGCTGTGAGTTCGAGGCCGAGCTGGACCGACAGCCTCCAAAACAATACAGAGAAACCCTGTCTCATAAAACCAAAAAACCAAACAAACAACAAAACAAAAAACAAGTAAAGAATCCACACGAAAATGTAAGCTTTGAGATAATTTGAGACTTACAGGAAAGCCTAATAGAGCCCTGGTGCAGTGTTTACCTGGCTGCCCTAGTTTGGATGTCTTACTTACAGTGATTAACATAGTTAACATTGATGCAATACTATTAACCACATACAACCCTTATTTGAACTCACTAGCCCTCCCTCCCTCCTTCTCTCCCTCCCTCCCTCCCTCCCTCCCTCCCTCCTTCTTTCCCTCCCTCCTTCCCTTTTTCCCTCCCTCTCTCCCTCTCTCCCTCTTTCCCTCTCTCTCTCCTTCCTTCCCTTTGATACAAGGTATCACTTTGTAGTCCAGGCTGGTCTTGAACTCATGGCAGTTCTCTTTCTGTAAGTCTTCTAAATGCCAGGATTATAGATAGGCATGAACTACCATGCCCAGCTGTTGCTGGCTACTGCCTCATCTTCCTTGATCTTGCAAGGAGGCACCACTGCATGAAGTTTCACTAGTTTTTGCTTAGCTGTGCAGTATTCCATATGGCATTTAAATACACTTGTCATTTCTCCTTTGACTTGTCTAATCTGTGACAGTTCCTTGGTCTTTTCTTGGGTTTCATGACCTTGGCACTTTCCATATGTGTTGTATGTTTTGTAGATCATTTCTCTATTTTGTTTTTGTGGTTACAACAAGTTATTGTGGTGTGGCAGGAATCTCAGTTTGTTCTAAAGTGATCTTGTTCTCTTTTTAGTGCCTATTGTGAAAGTGTCTGACACTGGTATGTCTCACCATGGTGATGTTGGCCTTGCCACCTGGTCAATGTGGTGTCTACCGGATTTCTCCATCCTTTGTGAAATCCTTACCCCTCCCCTTATCTGTCTTTCTTCTGGTCACGGCAGGACAATTCTCTTTCTTCTTTGCAGGGAAAGAGGTCAGCAGATAATATCGACCCTGCCCCCCCACTCCCCTTCCAGCATAGCAGCAAAGCTTCCCTTCCTGGGCCAAGGCCAGCTTCTCCTTTTGGGATAGAGCCAAAGTGAAATGAAAATCAGGACCTGAGTTCAAGATGTCTTAGGGTGGTTTCCTTCCTACTAGTGGCCCCTCCCCAGTGGCAGCCTGTCTCTTCTCCCCGTGTAGCTCTCTTAGAAGCAGAGGTTTCTTAATTAGGGATTCTAAACTTTGTGGTATCTCTGAAAAATGAGACAATATGTTTGAAAAAGAAAAAAATTTCAAGGTGCTGACCGAGTAGGGGCTGACTCTTTGTGGTGGTAGAGGTCCCATCCTGTCCAGCCAGTCCGGCTTGGGCGAGACTGCCCCTTTCCATGCTCTTAGCAGCCTTGCTTCCCCAGCCAAGTTTGCTCACCATCTCTTCTTTCTGGCTTCCCCTCCTCTGATGCTGGGAATTGATCCCAGTGTCTCATGCATGCTAGGCAAGTGTCCCACTGACATTCATGGGCTTTCAACTGTGCTTAGATACCTAGAGTGAGTGCTCAACCTCTTCTTTCTACTCTGTCCTCAGAGGGCTCAAGGTCCCCACTGCCCTCCCTCTCTGGTGGCCCTGCTTCATGACAGCTTTCCTGCCCCTTCCTTGTCCTTCCTCCCAGCCATTCCTGCCGCTGTGGTCTGCGTGGTCCTGGAAGCCACATTTTGCAGGATGGCAGTCTATGTGGGCTCTCCTGCTTCTGGAAGCCACATTTTGCAGGATGGCAGTCTATGTGGGCTCTCCTCCTGCTTCCTGCCACTGTGGTCTGCGTGGTCCTGGAAGCCACATTTTGCAGGATGGCAGTCTATGTGGGCTCTCCTCCTGCTCCTGGAAGCCACATTTTGCAGGATGGCAGTCTATGTGGGCTCTCCTCCTGCTTCTGGCTGTTCCTTTCATCGTATGTGGTTGTTAGTCTGCAGTTTTGATGCATTTTGCTTTAGCCGTATTTTGGGAAAATGAAGCTTTTTTATTCATTCCAAACAATTTTTTGAAATGGCATGGTTGCACACCTGTAATATATACCATAAACCTCCCCAAAGAACCCCAGTGAGCCTCAAATGGTTTTCTTTAAACATCTGAGGAAATTATGTAAATTTATTAGGTTAAAGAAGACTTTCTGAGTCCTAACGGACCTTTCTGTTTAAATTCATGTATTGTCCAATTTCACATCTGTAGCTTTTCCTGTCCCTAGAAATTTCTGCAGGTTTCCATCCTCTGGCTCTCCAGCAGGTGGCGGCCAGCAGGCACAGAAGGGCCAAGGTGACCGTGATGCTTTCCTCTGCCTGTGGCCTCCCTTTGTTTCCCCCTCCAGCTAGAGGGGCTTCCTCTCCCAGCAGGCAGTGTCTTGGCTTGCTTCTGTATGGACAGGAAGAACACAGCCAAATTTGTTTTACTGATAGAAAAACATGTGTTTCTGTCAAGCAAGCTTTTAATTCTAAGTGTTTTATTTCTCCGTTATATCCCAAATTCCTACAGTTGCATTATGCAAAAACCATTCATTTGGCACGTTTCTGTGTTACAGAAAAATGGTTCTTTTGGCCAGGTTTTAGGAAATATCAACTCTGGAAGCTGTCTGTGCAGATGAACAAGGTGTGTTTGTGTGCAAGCTTGTGAGTGTGTGCCCACGCGCGTGCATGCATGCTTTTAGTTGTTTGATGGTGTTCTGGGTACTGGGAGGAAGGGGCAGATCCTTGCTGTCAGACATGGATTTAGAGTAACATAAGGAAGGTCAGAGACCATGAAAGAGGTCCAGTTAGCATGGGACACCACAGGGAATGCCACAGCCACACAGCTCAGGCTCTTCCTTCCAGTTCTTTAGGGTCTTCCTAAAGCATGTGGCAGTTAATCCTAGTTTTTTCTGTCACCAATATGCTGGTGACAATGCTCTATGACTTAAATGGCAGTCCTGTCTGTTCTGCACTGCCTTGCTATCCTTCCCCGTGCTACACTTACCGCGCTCCCTCTATAGTCAACCAGGTTGATTTCTCAGAGGAGGGGCTTCTCAGTACCCTTCAGTCCAGTGATGCCCCAGGCACTGTCACACTGCAGTGTCTCTGTCATTCCTACAGTCACATCAACAGCACACCTGTCCATCTTACATGGCTCCCATAACACATTCTGGTGGTGAGAAGAGGCAGGAAGAAGAGCATTGTGTTTCCTTTGAACAGCATTTGCAAAGGCCTCAGGCTGTGCAAGCCGAGTGGGAGCTGCTTCCCTAATGCATGTTGTGGAGAACAGGATTCCAGGGCATCCTGATGCTTGCACAGTGCATGGTTGCAGGTGCATGGGTTCTGCAGATGCCTAGATAGTAGGAGATACGCATTGTAGCCTACTATCCCTAGGGTAGAAACTGAGTGGGGGCTCTTTTCCTGACCCTCACTTGGATGAGGTGACATTATTTGAGAGTAGACGGTCATTTCTCCTAGTGAGGCAGGACACTGGGTAATTGAAGGACTCTCCTCTGGAGCTCAGAGCCCTCCTATTTCATAACATGCCATTAATTCTTTATGTCCTCATTTGTTGACTGTTACTGAAAGCTTGACTAAGTAGAAACATGGGAAAAAGCTAGGAAAAGAAGCTGTAGCACGTATCTTTGCATAAATGCATGTGTCTATTGACAGACTACCGGAAAAGTTGACTAGTGCAGACTGGTGCCTTTAGAAGGCTTTAACTCTGTTCTGTTGAGTACCACTGTTGCTTTGCCTCTAACTTCCTCTGTACGCCAGGGTCTATCCTTGTGCCTGGACCCTGGAGTGTGGAAACTGACATATTTGTGGCATCAGGAGGACCTGGAGGGAATTTGAACTTCTTAGAAAAGAAGTCCATTTGGCTTGTATGCATATCCTTCTGGCGACAGGAGCAGACTTTAACCAGTGCTCTGGGATTCAG